CAGAGAGTCGAACACGAGCTTTTTAAAATGTCCTACTCACGCATAAATAAGTTGGTATATATATAAAGATGAATTTTTAGGTGTTAGATGTGTAAATACATAAGAATTGAGTGGTTTGTATGTACATTTTCGTCTTTTTTATATAGAATTTTACATACTAATAACCCACAATAATTAATATAACATTTTAATCATTCAAACTTTAAATATAATATTTAAACCACTTATTTCATTACAATTGAGTGAAATTATTTTGTGTTTAAAATGTTATATTTAAACTTTCACATAATTAAAATATTATATTCAATGTATAGGTTGGTTGTCCGAGGTTTCAATGACCAATGAAGCCAAGAATGGCCACATTGTTGTGAGCGATTATTGCGTGCGGAGAGCGCACACAGAGCTGTGCACCCTCCGATCACAGACAGTCATACAGTCGCGATGTGCGGCTGTGATCGGAGGGTACATGCAGCTCTGCGTGCGCTCTCCGCACACACTAATTAGACCATTGTTGTCGGGAGGTCACTTAATATCTTCTCTTTTTTTTTGGGATTTTAATAATGAGTGTATGAATCTAAAATCATCAATTCAATCATTTTTTCACTTAATGGGAGATTGAAACTCCCCATTCATAATGTAATATGGGCCATTTATATATATACGAAACAATTTTTATGTTTTTATACATGTATCAATCAAATTTTCATATCTACATGCTTATCGCTCTAATCTTTGACATCACATCAAAATTATCAGTATTGATGTGTATTAGGAAATTCACGGCAGTAGATTAACAGATTTATCGTCTTGATGTGGTACGAATATTCAGCACACACAAAAAATGAGAGAATAACTAATAATGACACAATTTTTTTTACCTGGAAAACCCGAAAAAGAGAGAAACCATGGGATCTGACCCAGCTGAAGAATTTCATTATAAAAGATATAATTACAATTGCAATCATTTGTCCCACAGGGAGGAATGAGTTACTATATTTTTCACATTATAACGCCGAAGCGCGGCGACTTATAGCGATTGGCAGTGTCCGATCGATGGTGTTCGACGAATGACTAGTGGTGATTGTGGCGGTCGGCGGTGGTATCAGATATGAAGCTCTTAGCATCAACCATTGTTAGTCATATTATTGTGGGCGTTAGGACTCTTTTAGCATCAGCTATTGTTAGTCATATTATTGTGGGCTTTAAGACTACGAGGGATTTTGCCATGAGTTTAGATGTCCCTAGATCTATAGTCTCCATGAACATTGTTTAGACTAAAGCCTCACAAGCTTACATTCTTCACATCTTTAGAGTCTAAGCCAAAGTGTTGCTTCAATAGCTTATCATTATATTTAGGGATGGCAAATTCCTTAAGAGAGAAAATTGTTTTCATTTAAAATATTCATGTTGAATGCATTTATAAAGTTCATGAAATGTAGAAACATACTTGCAAGTTAGTTTACATTAAGGTAGCATACAATGACAAAATTTCATTGTTGCCTAACATTGTTTGAAATTGCACTATATAATGCTTAGCATGGCTAATGATGTATAAAATGGCTCAACATTGCACTCTATGATACCCAACATGGTCTAAAAAATGTAAATCATGATGCCTAACATGGCAAAAAATTGCACTCAACAACACCCAACATGGGTTAGAAATATTTTATGATGCTCTTAACATGGCTTAAAATTGTATTCTATTATGCCCAATATGACAATTGCATAATATTGCATATTTTTAGGGAAGTTATAGATATAAGTTATAGATATTAGCAAGCAATACATCTTAGATTATTTTTTTTTACTTTGCAAGATAAAAATTATATAAAATAAGCATCAAATTAAAAGGAGATCCAGACTTGACTTGCAAATTGCATGTAGAGCAATTGTTTCATCATAAGAAATTAATATCTATAGATTTGTAGTAATTCCTTAAAAAACCAAACTCATGAAGAAAATGTTAAGTAGTAACCATTAATATCAAATTATTAGCAAAGAGACCTTCAAGAGAGAATATAGCAAGACTTAACAGCATAGCTCGCGAAAGAGCTGGACTGCCAATGAGAGTTGCAAGCACAACTTTTCAAAAGATTTACAGGTTTAACATAAATGGACTAGAACACAAAATGATCAATTTCATAACACAAAACAAATAAAAAACAAAAAAAAAGTTAGAAATTCAGAATAAAACGGAATATTTTATTGATATGAGAATTATAAATAACTCTTACATGAATTTCAGAGTAGGAAAGAAAAAAAAGGAAATAACATGAAAGAAAATATATAACTTCAAAATTTTGAATAAATTAAATCATAGTAATTATTTGGAGAAAAATTGAAATAATATAAAATTAAGAAAACCTAAAATAGGAAAGGAAATATTCCTAATCCAAGGAAATAATTATAAAGTAGAAAAGGAAATAACTCATAATCTAAAGAAAACAATTTATTCCTTATAACTTCTCACAAGAATAAATTATTTCTCAATCTAACTTCTAACTTCAACAAATTTTTCCATATGTGCATCACAAAAAAATTAAATACTTCATTTATCAAACTCATTTTTAGTTCTTAGAAGCACAAATCATGGCATCAAAATTGTTTTAATTTTTAGTTTTCTATTTTTTTTTATTTCATTTTAATGTAAAATATGTCTATAACGATGATCGCATTGAGAATAAGTTATGATTCCCAATGTTTTGATTTTCAATTTAGGTTTGTGTTAAATCCTGATCTGTCGATGAATCACACCTCAAGGGCAAACATGAATGTGGGAGAAACAAAAAAAAACTCTCAATAATGAACAATAATAAGTTTTATCGATTAGCCTTTTCTTATGAAATGATCCTCCTATTTATTGAAGAAATGTACAATATATGAAGTTACATGTTTGCCCCTACTTTTATGGAGGCGTTACAGTGTATTTTAGGGATTTTACATATGTGAGCCTGTGGCTTGTTTATTTTCTGGCTCAGTTGGCTAAGTTTGGTACGCTTCGGGCTCGATAAGACTTGCTTAGTCAGTATGCTGAGTTGGCGTAGCTAGTCGGTTGATCTTATCTGACTTTGGGTCGACCGAACTGCTTTGTTCAGCCATATGTTATCGATCAGTTGAGCTAGCTCGACTATCGACCCTTAATCCATGGATGAGGTGCTCTTATCAACAGAAAGAGACTATGCTATCAAGCTGAAAGTGAATCATCATAACCGGATGGATAGCTCATTCCTTGATGAGGAGGTACTTCAAAATATTTGTGGGTTATGTTATTGCAAATTCTTAGCCCCTATTGAGGAACCTCATTGGTGTGCATGAGACTGCTAGTACTACATTCTATCTGTGATTCGAATTGCAATAATAAGCAGGTCGATGTCTTTGCTCGGACTACATCCTTAGTCCGGATGTCTTTGCTAGTACCACATCCTTAGTCCAGGTGGTCTGCACTCGATCGACCTCTAGCCTCAGTTCAGGGGGTTGCATCTGGTCAAGTGGATCATTTAGTCTTTCGTCAGTGGGCCTTTCTTCGTTGTATTTCCCGTCTTCTGGACCGCTTGATCTCCTTGGGATTCATGTTGACACATTCCTGATGTACATTTTGTTTTACTACCATGAGTCATTTAAATTCACTTTCAGATTTGTTTTAATTCTCAATCTAAGAGTGCAAAGTGTGCAACCAATATTATATTTTTTCCATCTTATGATTTGGAAATTCATGATTATTGCCATTTAATTGATAGGATAAGATATTTCCCTCCTGTCACTGGACTTTGGTTGGCTATTTCCTCCTATTTTATGCTTTTTTCATCACAGCAATATCTGATATTCCATGAGGTTTACACTTCTGTGGTTGTTCCTTTTCGGGAATATAGCATATGTGACCGTTCCTTCCTCACACTGTAACAATGTGCGGCATTTCACAATAGCCTTGTGTGTTAATGTTTGTTGCCTCCTGGGATTGTTGTTACGTTTAACTTCATCCTACAAAGGGATTTTAGTTGAGCTTGGTGAATTTCAGATATACCTTTCATCTTTCATGAGATTATTTTCATCTGTATATTTTCCTTAAATGATGAGTATTACAGCTGAGTTTAGCTCTTTGTTTCATTCCTCTTCCGGTATTCTAGTGAAAATTGACACACAAGCCATTGCTAGAAACCGTGGTAAACAAAATTTTATTGGGGAAGTTCAATTATTTTGGCTGACAGTATGTTTAAAAACTGGTTTTAGTTGTAATCTAAATTGGTTTAGCGAAAACTCATATCATTAGGCTTGATCTCAGAGGAACATTTATTTTAGCATTTCTTGAGATAAATCCCTCCATAACCATAGAGGAATATGATTTTTTTTCCTTTTTTTTTTATTTTTGGGTCGTTGGATGTGGATCATTTGAGTGCTTCGAAAGTACCAACAATAACCTTCAAAGAGGAATCTCCATGCACCAATGTGATGCTTTGATTTTCCTATTTGAGATTTATAACCATTTTATTAAATTTCTTATGGGTTGATTTTTTATGCATGAATGAGATTTTATCAAAATGGGTTGATTTTTTATGCATGATTGAGATTTTATCAAATTTTGTGTTGATTTTCCTTTTTTTGTTCTAAATTTCATTCGCTAAAGAATTTCATATCATTTCACAAATTTCTTTTAAAATTTCATTTCGAATAAATAAAATGTGCTTTGTCATTTTGGCTCAAAAGTGATTAATCTTTGTTTAAAATGAGAACTAAGAATTTGTGAATTGTGATCTATTATGCATCACATCCTATACTTAGCATTATGACCCCAAAATCCTAGAATAACCTATGTCACAAGGTGAAGTTAGCCATTAACAAGGTTAATCGGTTAATCTTAATCCTACCTCATGTTTGGCTCAGATGACTGTATTTTCCATGGGCTTCTATTAGTTACTCATATAGCAATTTGTATTGTAAATAGACCTAAACAAAGTTACAAGGAAACAAACTTGTAAACCCTTCACAAAACCAAGATAGTACATACCTCGTTTATTTCTTTGAAATTTCACCAAACTGAGTTAGAAGGCCAAGCCAACCGTTTTAAGTCCCCTACAAAGAACTCATATGATCAACTTAACACCAGAAACTAAAAAAAGTTAGAGCTTGAACGTTTCATTTCCACTAGTAAGAGAATTCACATGATAAATGAGTAAATAATCATAAACTAAACTATGCCCTCTCCAACAGAGCCGCAGAAACATTCCCTACAACAGCAAACGATTCCCCATTCAGCGTTTCCTAATGTGCAACAGATAGCCCAACGGAAACTCTGTAGCAATAAAGCCCTATAAAACTGTACCTCTACAAAAGAATAACTTCAGAAACGTAGATAAAGGACCTCACTCATTGAGGTAAATCTTCTGGAATGTCAACACCGAGGCTACGCTGAGCCAAGCGATAGTACAGAATTCCCATGGTTGCCATGCATGCCCTGCAACATTTAATCAGTATAATTTTCTTTCACATACATTTCTATCAAATGCTCATCATTAGAGATGCAAAAAAAAGGATGTCTATAACATCGTCTAGCAAGAGAGCTTATAACAGAAAGAAGTAAGAAAAGATGAAAATTAATGAGCATAATTTGCAATAGAGCATTACAGATGTATACAATTAGTGGAACAATCAGAATTGAAATTTGTGTGACTCTAGTCAGATTCTAAGAACAATTTCCTATGTAGAAGGGTACCACCTGAGTGCACAATTTAGAATATCTTGTATTTCTACACATTATAAACATGAATGTGCTTGTTTGTTTAAGACCGTGATGTGTACGTAACTGGTGAATTGTATCATGTAAAGATAAAAATATAGCTAATGATGATTTATAAAAAAAGAAAGGTACTAAAAGAAAGGAAAAATAGATGGATAGAATAGCGACGACAGGAAAGAGTTCAGAGACTTCAATAGAGCTAAATGTATTACAAAAATAGACAATATGATTTTTAATTAAAGATGAAGATAATAAATGTAGAAATCTGAGAAAACTTGATCCTTTATATTTACCTCTCTTATGTGGGCCGGCTACATCTCCAAATCTTGAAGGATTAGATTGGAATATCTTAGAAAACCTAATCAATCCCCTTCTAATTTGTCTTTCCTATTCTTTTATTCATAATTATTTCATTTCCAAATTTAGGTGAGATATATTTGGTAAGTTTGCAAAAGAGGGATTGGTTTTCCTATATATATAT